GATGGCAATATTGAAGGAGGGGAGCAGGGGGAAGGAAAGGTAGGAGTAACTATAAGGCAAAAGCTGCAAGAGTTAGAACAGGTGAAGGGCTCACTTTGGGAGAAGGAAGGAATCCCTTTGCCTCCAACACAGGACTCAGTGCTGTCTATTTACTTCGCGGTGCCTGATCATTGCTATGTAACTTGTTTGAGTACCAAGGACATGTGAATGGACTTGGCTGGACACCTTAATGATGAGCTGTGAAATTTTAACCCTTGTCCCCTACCTTGGATTACATTCCAATGTTAAGTCATATCTTAATTCAAAACACACATACACACGTGTCTCTAATGTATGTAACAGATTTGTTAACAAAGATTCCTCCCCGGCTTTCTCTTATTACTGCGAAATTAGTATGCTATGACCACTAGGTAACTTAAAGGATGCTGACATGGGTGCTGTAATGTTTAGCCCACATACCATTTTGTGTGTTTACAAAGTACCAAAGAAGGGACACCTGGGTGTCTCAGCAGTTAGGCATCTGCCTTTGGCCCAGGGCGTAATCCTGGAGTTCCAGGATGGAGTCCCACATCAGGCTGCCTGCATGGAGCTTCCTTCTCCCTCTGCCTGTGTCTCTGCCTCTCTCTCTCTGTGTCTCTCATGAATGAATAAATAAAATCTTAAAAAAAAAAGTACCAAAGAAAGCAGCTGTCACAACATGGAAGCATTTCAGGGGAACTTCAAATTTCTAACAAAACAGATTTAAGCTGTCCCAAAGTTCAGGTGTTTATATTGATAGCACCCTCCACACAACTCCCAGGAAAAGGCAAATTATTAAGAACATGGGCTTTGGAGTCATATTTTTATCTCAGCTCTGCTGCTCACTAGCTACGACTGTGGGCAAGTTACTTAAGCAAATGTGTCATCATCTATAAAATCAGGACTAGGAACACCTACCTTTCAGGGTTGTGCTAAGAATTAAAGAAGCTCATATATTCGAAGTGCTCAGGATGGTACCTAACACAGTAGGCAATGGACATGTTTCACTGCCCTGTCTTAGGCTCTAATTCAAAGTACATCACTTGATTTCTTTTTTTTAATATTTTATTTATTTATTCATGAGAGACACATACACACACAGAGAGAGAGAGAGAGGCAGAGACACAGGCAGAGGGAGAAGCAGGCTCCATGCAGGGAGCCCGTCATGGGACTCGATCCCAGGTCTCCAGGATCACACCCCGGGCCAAAGGCGGCACTAAACCGCTGAGCCACCCGGGCTGCCCCATCACTTGATTTCTTCATGCCTCAACATGTCTGACCTGCAAAACTGGTGGGATGTAATAAAGCATGTGAGTGCTGTTAAGTAAAATTATGTGCTGTCAAGTATTTTTTAAGGAAACTTAAAAAAATACAAACAAAAGAACTTTCATAACATTCTGCATTAGTGCATGCTAGGCTGCGGTGAGCTTAAGGCCTGCCTGGACCCTATTAATATTATTAAAAGTGTGTGGGGATCCCTGGGTGGCTCAGCAGTTTAGCGCCTGCCTTCGGCCAGGGGCGTGATCCTGGAGTCGTGATCCTGGAGTCGCGGGATCAAGTCCTGCCTCGGGCTTCCTGCATGGAGCCTGCTTCTCCCTCTGCGTGTGTCTCTGCCTGTCTCTCATGAATAAATATTTTTTTAAAAAATGTGTGATCTGTGATAAACATTTTTCTAAAGTGAATGAAAAGTATGTATTTGATATGAAGAAAAGCCAAAGCTAGAGAGAGGAAATGAGTGAAGAGGTAGAAGACAAAGAATAAGGAAAGGGTAGAGTGGGGGTAGGCTGCAGGGGGAGGGAGTCCTTCTGGTCCAGAAAAGCCCAGTCCCTCCAGGTGACAGAGGATGAACAAAGCTGCAGGCCCAATTAGGAGTGGCAGAGGAGGGACAGGGGAGCTGAGGATTGAAGACAGCTAACCATACCCCATAACATTCAGATTTGAGTGTGTAGGTCCTCTCACTGATGAATGCCACCACGACTATGCTCCACTTGCCCTGTACCCCAGCAGTGGGTTCTTGTGCATCTAGGTTTCTTCCTCTAAATTATAAGATATCGTCTAAAATAGGGCTGTACTGGGCACCTGTGTGGCTCAGTGGTTGAGTGTCTGCCTTTGGCTCAGGTGCTGGGATCAAGTCCTACATCAGGCTCCCCATGGGCAGCCTGCTTCTCCCTCTGCCTGTGTCTCTGCCTCTCTGTCATGAATAAGTAAAAATACATGTTTTTAAAAAAAATAAATTTAAAAATAAATAAAGTAGCACTGTACTATTGCAACCAGTCATCTCTCCTGGTAAAGACTCTTTCATCATATTTAGTAATTTCTGTAGTAAAATATATTTTTCAAGGCAGCATAATAATACCAAAGTGAATTATGTTTGTTTCTTGATGTCAGAGGGGGCATCTGCCCACAGAAAAGACTAGTTTCTTTTCAAAGGTGTTCCTATTTTATTTTATTTTTTTATTTATGATAGTCACAGAGAGAGAGAGAGAGAAGCAGAGACACAGGCAGAGGGAGAAGCAGGCTCCATGCACCGGGAGCCCGATGTGGGATTCGATCCCGGGTCTCCAGGATCGCGCCCTGGGCCAAAGGCAGGCGCTAAACCGCTGCGCCACCCAGGGATCCCAGGTGTTCCTATTTTAAATAAATGCTCAGGATAAAAAAAAAAAAAAAGTGTGTGACATCTGCTCAGTTTTTGCCTCAGGAATTAATCAGAAAGGGACTCAAGAGTCCAGAGCTGCCAGATAGGAGGGTAAACTAAGTCTCTAGGATGGAATAGCTAACCTGCGTGAAATGCTCAGAGGTTCCAATCTCAGACTTATTTGGTAGGTCTGATCCGGGTGGGGCCAAGAAGCTTCTTGGAGGAAAATGCTTACCCACAGACAAGGGTCCTGCTTACACTCTGTTTACATTTCCTTCAGTTAGGCTGGCCCCACACACGGTTCTCAGCTAAACGAGATGGACATAGGGGTGTATTGCTGCGTCCTTCCAGCAATGCACGTTCAATCCGGTCCTTCCCCCACCAGACCCCTTCACCAGCCCCTCCACACCCCTCTTCTTCGGGCAAGTTCCACCCACCGTGTCTGTAGGAAAGACTATCACTGAGTTTGGGCCAAGGGAGGGCTAAGGTCACAGAACAGGCGGACGCAGGGCTGGCCGCAACCTTGAACAGCCAGCATAGGTCCCGTCTGCGTCCCCACCTCCGCCAGCCTTCTCAATTCCCCGCCCCACAGGCAGATTGGCTCACGAAGCGCTTTTCTACAGTAAGGGTTCCATCAGGCTTTCCATCAGGCTCTCCACGTAACCCCCATACCTTTGTAACCAACAAATCCTCCTACAAACCTGAGGCGGCAAACGAAAAAGCCAGCCTGGATCTCTGCCGCTGGGAGTCACTTCCTGGTGCGTACGGCGGCTCGACTCCCGACGCACACGCAGCCAGCCCAGGGTAGGCGCGACGGGACGCGGGGCTCCTCCCAGGCGCGGGTCTACCGGCCCTGCCCCGGGGCAGCCAGTTTCGGGGGCCCTCCTCCCCACTTTAACGGGGCGCTTCTCTAGAGCCTTTCCTCAAAAATCACTCAACGCCCTAAGCCCTCACCCCTGCCTCCCCCAGGTTTCTCCCCAAGGCTCCCTCTCCTTCCCTGCCAGCGACCCCGCCCACCGCTTGCTCTTCTCCCAGTCCCATTGGTGGGTCTGGACAAGCCTCAAACATCACAAAGGAATTTGAACCGCAGGTTAAGAGTGCTACCCTCCTGGGGGGGGGGGTGGCTTGCAATTCTACTCAACCAAAACTATAAGCTCAGATCCATGATGGGTTGAAAGATTAGGAGATGAAGGGTGGGGTGGTTTCTTCAAACCTTTTAGTCGGCCTTATTTGGGGCCCTAGGGTTTTCCAGGCATTCGTTCTCTCCTCTATTTTATATTGCTTCAAAAAAGTGTTCTGTTCTTGCAAGGTAAAGCTAGTTCCTTAAGTGGATCCCACGCAGGGCTACTAAGTCCTCAGGGCAAGAATTGTTTTTCAACTTCAAAAGACAGAAGGAGGCTAGATAACTGATGTGGGAAACAAAGGCAGAATGAAATATACATAAAATTAAATGTCCTTGTAACCTGCAGTCCATTAACAAATACTTGAGGGGAACGCCTGGGTGGCTTAGTGGTTGAGCGTCTGCCTTTGGCTCAGGGCGTGATCCTGGAGTCCTGGGATCGAGTCCCACATCGGGCTCCCTGCATGGAGCCTGCTTCCCCCGTCGCCTGTGTCAATGCCTTCTCTGTGTCTCTCACGAATAAATAAATAAAATCTTTAAAAAAAAAATACTTGAGGCAGGCAGAGAGTATAACCTTTCTCCAGGAAGCCCCCAACTGTGTTAATGCCTTGCTAGAGGGAAAAACAACCAGTTTGACCATAGCAAGGCCTCCAGTATCCAGTGAGTGTTCTTTAGCATATGAAAATCCTTTGGAACTTCTCTTATCTTTTACTTCCCCCAGTCCCAAAGTATATAATTAGCTGCTCCTCACAATCCCAGTGGGGGCAGCAGCTCTTCCTGCCCACCGGTCCTGTCCCCATGCTTTAATAAAATCACCTTTTTGTACTGAAGACATCTCAAGAATTCTTTCTCCGCCCTGGACTTCGGACCCCACGAACACACCAACACTACTCCAAAAATATATCGGATACCATTAATTCATTTACTAACTCCTGGAAAAGATTCAGCGATTCCTTTAATTTTTAGAGGGTTCAGGAGCCCAACCAAATGAGTAAGAGAACGTTGAAGTAGGGACGGCTGGGTGGCAAAGCGGTTGAGCGTGCCTTTGGCTCAGGGCCAGATCCCGAATTTCCAGGATCAAGTCCCATATCGGGCTCCTTGCATAGTGTTAGGTTTTTTCCAAAATGAACAGCGGAGAGATTTAAAAAAAAAAAAAAAACAGCCGAGCCAGACAATAGGTTCGAGAATGCTTTTAATGGGGAGCGCTCCCGGGCGAGGTTCCGTGACTCGGAGAGGTGGCCGGAGTCAGGGAAGCCGCGCCGGGTTGGGGAGTGTGGGGGTTTTTAAGCCTTATTGGTTCCGGGTCTGGATCCGGGTGGGTCCCTTGCCAAATTAGGAAAGGGAACACCGTGTCCCTAGGTGATTGGCTGGGGGTGGGGATAGCACAGACGATGGGGTGGTCCCTGGCTGGAAAGTCCTGGATGGAAAGTTTCGGTTTCCCGTCTAGACTTCGATTTACTGGAGATGATGTGGTGGTCATAGCTGCTTTGGCGGGAAGATCAGCCATTTTGACCCAATTTGAGATGTCCGCCATTTTGGGTGCCCCTGTCTCTCAGCCAGCCCAACACATAGAGCCTGCTCCTCCTGTCTCTGTCTCTCTCTCTGTGTGTCTCTCATGAGTAAGTAAATAAAATATTTATTTTTTAAATTTTATTCATTTACTCATGAGAGACACAGAAAGAGAGGCAGAGACACAGGCAGAGGGAGAAGCAGGCTCCATGCAGGGAGCCCTAGGCGGGACTCGATCCTAGGTCTCCAGGATCACACCCTGGGCTGAAGGTGGAACTAAACTGTTGAGCCACCCGGGTTGCCTAAATAAAATCTTTAAAAAAAGAGAGAGAGAGAGAGGGAACGTTGCACAGACCACAGGTTTTCCTTAAAATTTACAGCAAAGTAAATTTACATTTAATGACACGTAGTTTTTATATTTAATAGTAAGTGGGCTTTAGTGGAAAGCGCTCTATAGCCAACATTTCAGTTATTTACATATATTCAAAGCATAACATGCCTATTATGCGCAAGGCAATGCCATAGCCCTAGTGAGTACAGCAGTAAGTTAAACCTGGCCAGGGCACCTAGGTGGCTCAGTGGTTGAGCGTCTGCCTTTGGCTCAGGTCGTGACCCCGGGGGTCCAGGGATAAGTCCCCCATCGGGTTCCCTGCGGGGAGCCTGCTTCTCTCCCTGCCCAGGTCTGTGTCTCTCATGAATGAATAAATAAAATCTTTTAAAAAAGGTAAGCCTGACTAGTACCTCAAGTAACAGCCAGACCAAAGTTCAAAGTCCAGACCTGCCAGTTATAAGCTGTGTGAATGTGGGCAAATTACTTAATTGCTCAGGGCCTCAGTTTCCTCATCTGAAAAAATGTCCATAATAATTGCCCCTACTTCACCAGTAAATAAGTTAATATATGCAAAGTACTTAGAGTAAGCACAGACTCAATGTTAGCTATTATCATCCAAAAACAATTTTACATACTGTCTGTGTATACAAGCCTGCACATACATGCTTACAGACCCTTTAAAAAAAGAGACATCTTTTACTTCCCATTCCAAAGGCCTGAGCAGGTATATGCTTGACTCAATTTATGGCCTTTTCTAACCACTCTAATGGTTCTTTATCACTATTTGAACTCAAGCCATTATTTCAGGTTTCTAGGCTTGCACATTGCTACCAAATAATACCAGGCTGGAGAATGCACCTTTGATTTTCTTCTCCCTTTCTCTTCTTTTAGCCCCTTTTACGCAGGTAGCCAGCTCTATTCCTTTCTTCACCTCTTCTTCCCTTTCTTCTCCTTCCCATGCCCTCCTGCTCCATTATCATTTCTCATGTTGGCACTCACTGTTGTGCCTAGCACAGAGCCCTAATAGGAGCTTGATGAATATTTGATAAATTGAATTGAATCCTCCCCTTGTCTACTTTGAAAGGGAAAGGGAATATTTTCACTCACCCCCATCCCCACCCCCACCCCCACCCCCACCCCCACCCATTCTGAGCATCCAGTGAACTCCTTTATTTTTTTTTCAGTGGACTCCTTTAAAGCAAGTCTGTCATTTGAGAAGGCAGAACCCTAAGGGGCAAAGAGAGAAAAGAAATTAAGGAAGCTATAATATAATTATTTAACCATTAACCCTTTCATTTTTTTATAAATTTATTTTTTATTGGTGTTCAATTTGCCAACATATAGAATAACACCCAGAGCTCATCCCATCAAGTGCCCCCCTCAGTGCCCGTCACCCTGTCACCCCCACCCCCCGCCCACCTCCCTTTCTACCACCCCTAGTTCGTTTCCCAGAGTTAGGAGTCTCTCATGTTCTGTCTCCCTTTCTGATATTTCCCACTCATTTTCTCTCCTTTCCCCTTTATTCCCTGTCACTATTGTTTATATTCCCCAAATGAATGAGACCATATAATGTTTGTCCTTCTCCGATTGACTTATTTCACTCAGCATAATACCCTCCAGTTCCAACCACGTCGAAGCAAATGGTGGGTATTTGTCGTTTCTAATGGCTGAGTAATATAACCCTTTCATATTTATTTAATCTGATAAAGCATGCTCTTCTATAAAAGAGAAATCATCACATTTGTAAGAGGGGTAAGAAATATCCCATGTTATGGATATTCCTCAACTGGAAAAGTCAATAAATGGACATGTCATGGGTGACAAGCAATATTGTTAAATTAAATAAGAGCTGAAATCAAGATAACCTTTGCCTAACTTTATTATCAGCAAACCAAATCACAACACAGTGAAGTTTCTAGAAATTTGTCATTCTCACTTTGGTCCAGAGAAAATTTCTCTGGGCACTACAGCATTAGCTTTCAGAAATAACATGAATATTTTTAAGATTTTATTTTTATTTTGGGGATCCCTGGGTGGCTCAGCGATTGAGTGCCGCCTTTGGCCCAGGGCATGATCCTGGAGACCTGGGATCAGGTCCCACGTCGGGCTCCCTGCATAGAGAGCCTGTTTCTCCCTCTGCCTCTCTTTATCTCTGTCTCCCATGAATAAATTTTTTAAAGATTTTATTTATTTATTCATGAGAGACCCAGAGAGAGAGGCAGAAAGATAGGCAGAGAGAGAAGCAGGCTCCCCGTGGGAGCCTGATGCAGGACTCCATCCCAGGACCCCAGGATCACCACCTGAGCCAAAGGCAGAGGCTCAACCACTGAGCCACCCAGGTGTCCCTAACATGTATTTTTAAAAAGATTTCTTTATTTGAGAGACAGCAGGGTGCAAGCTGGGGGAGGAGCAAATGGAGAGGGAAGAGCAGACTCCCCACTGAGTGGGAATCAGAGTCTTAGAACTCCAACCTAAGACCCTGGGATCATGACCTGAAGGCAGATGCTTAATAGACTGAGCCACCCAGGCACCCCGGAAGTAGCATGCATTGAAATCACTTACACTGCGTTGTGTAAGAATTTCTCAAAATGTGTGGGGTGCCTGGGTGGCTCAGATGATTAAGCATCTACATTTGCCTCAGGTCATTATCTCAGGATCCTGGGATCCAGCCCTGCATCAGGCTTCCTGCTCAGCCGGGAACCTGCTTCTCCCTCTCCCTTTGCGCCTCCCCCTGCTCATGTTTGTGAGTGCACGTTCTCTCTCTTTCCTTCAACCAAATAAGTAAAATCTTAAAAAAAAAAAAAAAAAAAAAAAAAGAGGGGATCCCTGGGTGGCTCAACCGTTTAGTGCCTGCCTTTGGCCCAGGGCGTGATCCTGGTGTCCTGGGATCGAGTCCCACATCAGGCTCCCTGCATGGAGCCTGCTTCTCCCTCTGCCTGTGTCTCTGTCTCTCTCTCTCTCTCTCTCTCTCTCTCTCTCTCTCTCATGAATAAATAAATAAAATATTTTTAAAAATAAATAAATAAAATAAATAAATAAAAAGAATTTTTCAAAATGTAGACAAGGGCCCATCTGCAATGGAATCAGCTGGGGTGATTGTAACAAATGCAGGTTCCTGAGCCCCACCCCATTCCTACAGAATAAAAATCTCAGGGAGAAAGGACTCAGAAATATTTGGGTTTCTAACAAGCACTGGTAGTGATGTCCATTAAAATTTGTCCTACCATCATGCAGCAACTGAAATACCAGATGATTAGTTGAAAGTTCAAAAAAATCAAATCATAAAAGCCATAAAATAGAATATAGATAATTATGTGTCTGCGATTTGGACATAGGAGGACTTTCTAAACTGAAAACCAGTAGGAAAAAAAAAACACCAAGTAGGTAGAATTTATTACGTGAACCTCAAGAATTTCTATATGACAAAGATATAATTAACAAATAATACACAATGAACAGAAAAAGATAGGTAAGTATGGCAAAGAGTAAGAAAGACACAGTGATCCTAATAGAGACCTTAGCAAAGATTTGAAGAGGTAATTCACAGGAAAAGAAGCAAAATTGGTCAAAAAGTGCTTTGTTCTACCTCACTAGTAATGACAGAACATGCAAAGTATATCAATTGGCAAAGATTTAAAAAGATCTGTTATTCCTCAGAGTAGACCATGGACAATTAGACAGATGCTCTCACACATTGCCAGTGAGATTGTAAATTGATATAAAGTTCCTGGAAAGTTATTAGAATCAAGAATCTTTTTTTTAAGATTTTATTTATTCATAGAGGCACAGAGAGAGAGAGAGAGAGAGAGAGAGAGAGAGGCAGAGACACAGGCAGAGGGAGAAGCGGGGTCCATGCAAGGAGCCGGATGTGGGACTCGATCCCAGGTCTCCAGGATCACGCCCGACTGCAGGCGGTACTAAACCGCTGTGCCACTGGGGCTGCCCAGAATCAAGAATCTTTTAAAATTAAAAAAAAAGAATCTTTTAAAATATCACACCATTTGCCCCCAAAATGCCACGCCTGGAATTCTATTCTAAGGAGATGGAAATGCAAACAAAGGTATACACTCAAAGGGTCTTACAGTTAAGAATAAAAAAGCATCTTTAATATCCAACATTAGGGGACGCCTGGGTAGCTCAACAGTTTGAGCATCTGCCTTTGGCTCAGGGCGTGATCCCAGAGTCCCACATCCAGCTCCCTGCATGGAGCCTGCTTCTCCTTCTGCCTATATCTCTGTCTCTCTGTGTGTCTCTCATGAATAAATAAATAAAATCTTTTTAAAAAAATAAGATCTGGGTAGGCCCAGTGGCTCTGCGGTTTAGTGCCGCCTTCAGCCCAGGATCTGATCCTGGAGACCTGTGATCGAGAGTCCCACGTGGGGCTCCTTGCATGGAACCTGTTTCTCCCTCTGCCTGTGTCTCTGCCTCTCTCTCTCTCTCTCAATCTCTCTGTGTGTGTGTGTGTGTGTTTCTCATTAATAAACAATTAAAATCTTTAAAAAAATAAGATCCAACATTAGAAAAATAGGGAATGATTACATAAAACATGATCTATCCATTGACCATTGCAGAGACACTAAAAATGACACTCATAGTGTGTTAGAAATGAGAGGGACGCCTGGGTGGCTCAGGAGTTGAGCATTGAGCATCTGCCTTTGGCTTGGGGCATCATCCCACGATCTGGCCCTGTTGGG